GGAAGTTGTCGTTCATCCGTATATATATATATATATGTACGTGTATACTTTTATACTTATACCTTCATAATACAATAGTGATTACATATTATGACGTATCGCCATTTAATTTGGCATATACGTGTGCGCTTGTATAGGTGATACCACTGATCGACATGTGACATATAATAATTAATATAAATATTTAAATATTTAAAATAATGTAAAACGTATAATATTATTATTATTTATTTATCGTTGAATACAAGGTTATCGGAGGGGGGTTTAAAAAAGAGAAGGGTCTAATCTTTTTATTGGTTTTTAATATTATTTACGACGATTATAAAAAAAAAATACGTTATCTGTTTTATTTTATTCACTTTTAAACCTACTACCTATACCCTTTAAATGATAATCATTGTATACATGAATTAATTTAATAGCTTACTTAATTAATACCTTTCCGTTACGTCTACATTGTGTACAAACATAAATGCATTTTCTCTGAAGTAAAGACCATTTGCAGAATTTTTTCGTGCATATCGCACTGCAATTATTACATTAATACAATATTGATAAAAGTTTGTTTGGAAATTAATTAAAAGTAGACATAGATAACTTAATATATTTTTATTGTCCACATGAACACATAAATTCAAAATAATTTTGATAATATAATTATATGTGATGACTTACATCATTTTCGTCTTATCATCTTATCAGCTAAAAAATAAGAATTTAATATTTATCTTACATAAAAAATTACAATATAAATTAAAAAATTGTGTATGTTTATTTTTAAAATTTTTAAAATATTTTAAACAATTAAAATTATTTTTACTTAATAATAATTTCAGAAAATAATTGTAGTATTATAATATACTCAATAATTTTTCGTGTTGAAAAATGTAAACGTTGAGTATGGTGGTTAGTTGGAAGGAAGTAAGGTATAAAGTAACATTATACATAATATAACTTCATTTTTCATAATAATGTAGTCTCAAATGTCTAAATTCCTAAATGAGAGATACACTGGCAGTGTTGTGGTCGTTCGCAATATTCCAAATTTCGACGGTAAATATTGTAAAAACCTCGTTATCGGGGTCTCTTCACTCTCTGTATTTCTCTCTCTCCAAAAGCCGGTGTTACAACGATAATTTATATGCAAACTGGCGGAAAAAAAATATTGACGTTTCATTTTTTTTCACGCTATCGGAGCGTACTGAAATTGCAGCAAAAAACAACGTCAACGCTCCGTTATACATTGTCCCTCTACCTCGTGTCTCTTCACGTCTACGGACGTAATAATCGCATATGTGTGTGAGTGTGTAAAAAACCGATTTGTTTGAATGATATAAATAAAATAAAACGAAAAATATGTCTAATAGTATAGGAGGAGGGGAAAGAAACTAAAAAAATAACACAATTTTCCCTATCATATGAATTACCATAAACACTCCGGAATTATTGTTGTCGTTATGACAGACTCGTCAAACAATTATTTTTCATATCATAATGAAACCTATATTTTAATATTATAATAGCCCATACTAACCCTAACCTATAAAATGTACGATAATATTAGTCTGTTTTTGATGTTCGTCTTTCGCGAGATCATTATAATCTCTCATTCGTACTTATAATGTCAATGAGCTATATTATATGTATATCTTTAAGATTAAATAATTGTTATAAAATAATAAAATTGTTTTTATTTTTCACTTAAAACAACTATCGATATCAATTTTTTTTTCTACATGCCTGTAACCTATTTTTTTTATATATATACTTTCGCGTTAATATTTTTTCGTATATGCTCGCGAAAGTGTTAGTTCAATATACGACCTTGTTCTTCATTCAACTAGTCAGTTAAGTACAATTTTTATGAGAGTAGACTGATAGAAAGACAGAAACAAATTAGAACTTTTCTTAAAACAACAACGGGCCGCAATCGGAGACGTATATAAATTGTGTTTTCATATTATATTATAAACTCGGAATTTGAATTTTGTATATATATCAGTTTGTGTTTGAAGTTTGTTCGCATAATCGAATCCCGTAGTATCCGAATAGTTCAATCTATATAGGTGATGGAACAAAAAAAATGCAGTCTTAGTCGTCCTCGTGTTAATGGCGGTGAATATCACAAGGCCATGGCGTTACATGCCTATAATTATTACCATATTGTACGTAAAACTTTTTTATAAAGTACAATTTATTTTTCTCGTTTTCTTGACATTATTATGAATATTATATTATACAATACTATAATAATAGTATTTTATCTCTTGTCATTTCACCACAAATCATTCTGCAATTGGTCAGTATTATATGTATTTAATAGTTTGAGTTATTATATTATATTTAATCCAACCTAATCCGAATACATTAATTACAATTCATAATTAATAATCACGAAATACTGTTGTTTTTCATTTTATACGTATAGTATAACAGTATTCTGTTATAATTTAACAGAATAATATAATATTTATAACATGATAAACACAAATTGTCGTAATGATATATATAGGTACACATTTTTTTATGTAGATCGATCTCCGGTATTACGTGATAAATTGCCAACTTGATTAATTTAAATATTGGATTGTTTTAGAAGAAATATTAAATACAGGTCTATATTTACATTTAATTATAGTAACTATTTTATTTTCTGTAATCAATAGCAACCTTATATAAACAAAAACATAGTATTAATTTTCGTAAAACAATAAATTCCCGGGTGAGAAGCTCTTTAAAATTTTGAAAGATTGTACAAAGGTATTATGAAAATGTCAAGTCTAAAGTCTTAGATATTTTAGTTTCAGCTATAATTTGTATCAGTTAATCTTATCTTCTTTGGTATATATATATATATATATATATATTATATTATTTGATCTATTTCGATATAATCAATTTTTTTTGTTTTCATTAGTTGTTTATTTTATGTTACAAGTACTTTTATAAACATTTATTTTACTTTTATTTTTAATAACTTATATGTAACAAGCTATTAATTAATAATAAGTAATAACTGATTAAAAATAATTTTGTATTCATACAAAAACTATTAAATAACATAATATAATATTTGTTGAAAAGTGTGTATTTGTTTTAAACTTTTAAGTTATAATTTATCTGATTTGTTTAAAATACTACCTGATATAACCTATCACACATAATTGTTAACTAAAATTATCAAAATGTCTCGTAAATAAAAATATATTCTAGAATATGCACTAAATGCAAGAGTGATATTTATATTTTATATTAATTGCTTATCAAAGTTTTATTTGATATCTTCAATGGGTGGAAACACATTATACTTAAAAATTTCAATTACAAAATTGGTCTATAAACCGTAATTTTTAAACTATAAATTCAATATGACATTCTATATTTTAAAAACAACAGTTTAAAAAACTATATTGATACGCATAGTTATCAAAAATTAATTTCATTATATAGTAACATTTCATACGTCTGACACATGACTATGTACATTTTTTGATTATAATATTTTTAATTCCTATTTCATAAATAAAACATCAGTTACATATTTTAATAAATTTGGTTTTGTAAATAAGTTGAAATTCTTGCTGTTCTGTTGCAAAATGGTTATTTTTTTAATATAAAAAAAAATAAAATAAAAATATATGATATACCATATAGATCAAATAAAAGTATTACATATTTACTCAACTGCAAAATTCATGCTGTGGTGTGATTGTATATTTACTATATTAACACTTACAGAGTAATAGAAATAGTTGATATTTGTAATAAAATAACGTTTAGTAATAAATAACTTTTTTTCTTTTAAATATTATATTTTTTTTTTTATTATTTAATAGATGAGAATAAAATTATTGTTAAATAAAATAGTACAATAACTAATAATTTTTTGGTTAATTAATAATCTGTTAGCTATTTTGCAGTTAAACGTTACATCATGTATTAATAAATATGTTAATAATACATTTTTACAAGTGCATTTACTCGAATTTTTATAATATAAATTATTAACCTTACCGCTATCAGTTAAATACCTCGTGATCGTTTGAACAAGTCCGATATGATGCTCTGATACAGCTATAGAGCACTGGAATCGAACATAAAAGATTTGCTCGTCCATTGTTCGTTTGACGGGTTGACCTAGAGCCACATTTTTCCCCTCTCCCATTATCTTTTGTTGCTTACAATAATAATTTATAATAAATAAATATATTTATATTTATATATATATATATATATGAGTAGTAATCTGAGAGTATGGTATACCATAGTTATTTCTACACTAGCTCGCGATACGAGTTTCCATTGTACAACGCACGTATTATGTATTTTTATGTTCTATAAATACGTCGCGTGCACGCAATAGGCTGCAGGTAGGTTTAACTTGTAGTATAATACCTCCGTACGAAATATCCCATGTTCGATACCGTCGTTGTGTAACATTCAGCATACTATCCCTTGAGCGTTATTTCTTTGCAGTTCTAGAAGAGGGACCAGTATTTCTATTTTCTAGGACAGTATATTTAATATTATATACTTTTTATTTATATCGAATTAAAATTTGTGAAGTTTCTATGTACTTGCGATTCAATATAATGGTATAATACCAAAATAAAATTGTAGAATCACAACTTGATAATAACCAACAATTAACAACAATATAAACATTAAATTACTTCATAACGATTTAAAAAAAATATTGTAATGGTCGTCTGTTGATAATATTAATGATCAACATTTTTTTTCAAAATCGCCAGTTTTGGATAATATTTGAAAACGGCTAAATAAATTTGGAATTGGCCATTTTATATAGAATTAAGAACATTTGTGTGAATTTTGAACCGTTCATAGCGCAAAAAATGCTACTTATATATACATTTAAGTGTTACTGCACTATATTATGTAAAAACAATATGCGAACAATATAACATTATCACAATCCTTTTTCGATTTTGGAGATACATTATCAAATCATTATTAACGGACAGTTATCTCTGTTATAGGCTGAAGTAGTAATATTATGGACTCGGGATTTAGCAACATGCTGGAAAACACTAGGAAATACTTCCAAGGAATCCCTACGGATGCGGCTTCCACCGCAGCAGCAGCAGCAGCGGCGGCGGCCGCCCAATTGCACTTCCCGCCGCCTTTGCCTCCGTCGCACCATCTGCACCACAACGGTGGTGGCGGTGGCCGGTCGTCGATGAACTCATCGTCGTCGTCATCGTCATCATCGTCAGAACCATCGTCGGCGGCGGCTACCGATCGGTTCGCGGGCTATCACCACCCACATTTGCGGTACAATTTTCAACCGTACTCGTCGCCGGGCCACTACCCGCGCACCGCCGTCGACCCCAAGCCTGCGGCATTCCAACACCACCATTTTCAGCCGCCGTCGACGCTTCAATATCACCAACAACAACAACAACATCAGCAGCAGCTCCATCAGCTGCCGCTCTCTGCGTCGTCGTCTTCGCCTCCGTCACCGTACAAGTCGCCGTATACGTTGCAACCACTACCGCCGCCGCCACTGACTGTCAAACAACAGCAGCCGCCTCCGTCTCAATTTAAGCCGATGTCGATCGCTCGATCATCGCCGCCTGCTGCGGCCACGGACAAACAGTATTCGCCACCGAAACCACCGCAGTCGCCGTACGCGGTAGTGCCCAAACCGACGCCCGGCGCGCCGCAGCCCCAGTCGCCGTTTACCGCGCCCAAAGAACAGCAGCCGTCGGTGCCCGAGACACCGCCGCCTTCGCCGCATTCTTCACACTACTACAACAGAACATCGCACAGTGGCCTGCAACAACAGGCCATCGACAGGGATTACTTGCGGTTTAAGCCCATTCAGACACCGCCGCCACCGCCCAAGTGAGTGTTTATAAATATATTATTATACTAGTGAAATAGACTGTGGTTCAGTTAGTTTACACATATTAAATATATCGTCTATATAACTATGGTTTTTAACGAAAACGTATTTATTTAGTAGGTTTCAACCGTTGGAGAAGCCAAAGTCCGAAGTGCCTGCGACCAGCGGGACTGGACTGCAATCCTCACACCTGGCCATCAGGTATGATCCGAAACTCGAGCAGCCCCGCAGCGGCGTCAGAGCGGTGCCCATAGCTCAGGCTAAGCAACCGTCTTCGTCATCATCGTCAACAACGGCGGTACAGCACGACGTTAACCGGGTGATCGTGCAGAAACCAGAACCATTACGGTATCATCAGCAGCAACAGCAACAACAACATCAGCTTAACAACAACCTTCCTCATAGATCATCGTCGTCGTCTGACGACAATCATCATCGCCATCACAAACGACCGGCCTCGGTGCAGCCGTCGTACTTGGATTCCAGACCGTTCCAAATAAAAGCGTTCGAAGGCGGCGGTAACAACAACAGCAACGGCAGTAGTAGCAACGGCAGCAGCGGCAGTGGTCAGTCGTCGTCTACGTCGTCGTATCACAGGCCATTCGCCGTTGCACCACAACCACTGCCCCCGTCGTCGCAGTCCTCCCCCGCCATTATCGTATCCAGCATGGACCACCGCTGGACCGCGTTTGACGGCCGGGCGCCACCCGCGTTCCTGCAACAGTCATCGTCGTCCTCAGCAGCGGCGGTCATCAACGGTTACCATCACCATCACCACCGGCCGTCGCCGATATTGCCTTCAACTTCGTCGTCGCTTCCGACAACCGTGGTTACTCAGCACCATCAACACCATTCATTGTCCAGACAACAGCAACAGTCGCAACATTATCCGCTCAACTTGCAAAAGCTCACACAGCCCGCTCGACCGGCCACTGCTGCCGGCCAATTACAACAGGTTAGTGGTGCAAACGCACACATCATACGATATAATATTAATATATACCATAATAATATATATAGATTCAAATTTGAGTGATTTTCGCAATGTTTTTTACGCGTAACACTCGAAAAAAAAACAATGAGTTGATTTTAAAATTAGTTCTACTCAAAGTCGCAATAAAGTATAATATTCGATATTTATTATTTTGTAGGTTTATAAAAAGTTTACATTCAACAGCAAAAATCCAAAAACCGTTGGTAGAGTCTTAATGTCATATTATGCACTTCAGTCTTTTTCGGCATTTATTTCAAACTATCCCGTAAACCTTTATGCAATATTCAAAAGTTCTACGTCCTATAATACAAACCCAAACGGAAATTACATTTTGTTTAATCTTTAACCTACACCTTTATTTACCATTGTGGTCAATGGTTATCAATATCGGTCGTAATGTATGGTTTTAGAGTCATTTTACGTGTTTTTAGTACACGCGTAAATCACTAGCTGCGTGCCGACATGTCTGTACAGTGTACACACATACAAGCGGAGCGGCTGCTGTGAAATATCGAAAACTGCGCGTGCGCTTACACGGTGGCAATGTCGTCGATGACTGTGCGCAAACGGGTGTAATTGGAAACCAAAACAATTATTATTAATTGAATGTTTTCGCACAACGAACGCGAATAATTTCCGTCGACCAAATAATCGTTTTTCCACGTAGGACCCTCGCCTGCTGACACTACCGCCTTTTGTTTTCAGACGAAAATACTCATCATATTGGTCGACGCCCTTTCACATGGTTTTTATGCATTTTTTTCCCACATCGTCACATGACGACTTCGCTCAATTATGTTCAAAGGTCGTTAACACATATTTTGTATTCAATTTTACGATTGGTGGATATTGACTTCATCATTATTAAATTATTGAACAACGTGACGATTGTATTTCTCTCGGTTAGATTATTTCAACAATTTTTTATTATTACGATTAATTTATTCATGTGTTGGAACAGTCGAAACTCGGAACAATCACAAAGATATCTAGGTTCCATCGTTATTATTTTAATTTTTTATCACTTCGTTAAATATTATATTATTTATAATTTTGAATAAGACATTATTATAGAATATAAACACGTGTTTACTAATTTTTTTTATTTGATTGATTTGTACGTATTATACTTTTATATCTCGGTACTCGATATTTTCTCGCTAAAATATAACTACAGTATAATTTCTAATTTTTAAAACGTGTTTTTCCGCAATTTATCTACCTTTATAATTCAGTATTTATTTTGTTAGAAATAGCTCGGTAATTATCATGCCTACGTTTTACCTTCTACATTAACGGGATGGGGAGGTGGCGGTACCGGTTAGACCCAGCTTAAGGAAAAAACGAATCTTTATTTAGATCACCGAGGAGACCACCTGTCGTTATTATCGTTGTCTTTGTTGTTTGTTTATCGTTTTATATTTCGGTCCGAACTTTGTTTCTATGATTTCAATTTCCCATTCTTGATCTGTCCGTCTACCGTGCTCAACGTGTTTTCTTCGATCCGTATCCGCCGACTGCCTGCACATGCGTCGCGACCCACACTAAACACAAACACGTATCTATTCGTCTGTAAGTACATTGCGACTACATATAACAACAATTAACTAAAATGATGCATATTTGTGAGATTTTTACACGTGAAATTTAAACTTTGTTCTTATAATAAAATCATTATTGCATTGATTCATGAGAATAATAAATTTTGCCTACGCGTATCCCATTGCGATTTGTCATTAAACACAATTTTAGAATTAATTATTTTACCTAGATGATTTATAGAAACATTTATTTGCTGTATTTTTTTGCATAAAATATTGAAGATATTTAAATTAATATTGCGACATACTTTTCACATTTCTAAGTGTTCTCGATGCATTATGATCATTTTCTCGAATTAAATTATTTAACGCAATATTCTAAATAATTTTGGATATTTTACAGCAAAATCAAAGTAAAAATGAGATTTCTCGAGACATTTTTCTTAAATCTGATTTTTATTTTTCACAGCTAATAATTGTTACTTATTATTATATTTGTATTGAAAAAAATTCTTATATTTAAATTTAAACATTTAAAATGATAATTAAAAATTATATTTTATTTTTTTCTAATTATTTGCACTGAATAACTGTGAAAGCGTGAACACCTAACTTTGGAACCATGGGATTTTTGTGGGATAGTTTTCGTTGTCTGGATAGTATAAAAATAATACGATTCGTATCCGCTTCAAACGATAATATAATATATGTTTTTAGTCTATCCGTAATTCTGAAATAATACTTATATAATTGTTATAAAATCCAGTCGATTTTCCTGGCAGTGCGCGTGGTGCTCGTTCCTCCGCATACTATTGTTGTAGTTTTCGTATATGTACATATTTATAGGTATTAATGGTATTATACGTAATATTTCTGTCTAAATGGAATATGGACAAACGGGCGTCGTATACACTGCATATTATTATATAGTAGGCACTCGCGACCTCGATTGTTGATTATTTATTTATTCGTTGTGAAGTCAAAGTCAATGTTGTCGTTGTCCCCCTCTTCGTTTTCTCTCCCACCCCATATCCACTATTCACATCTCGGCCGGTCGAACCGTTGCTTTCGTTTTGGCCGGAATATTTCTGTTTTCCTTTCATATGACGGTTTGCGTTTTGTACGTTCGTTTGCTCGCATCGATCAATAATAATATAATATTTTAATTTATGCCTTAATTTAGGTGCGGAGTCTCATTGAAAACTATTGAATGATTTGTTTTTTTATATTTTTACGATTTTAATTGAATCGTTTCAATTTTATTGTTTTGTGGTAAATAATACAATCGTTCTGCAGATGGAAGAATAGACAAATCTATTAAATCGCGCGCGTAAACATTACTCTTAGTTCGAAAGTTTCTGTTTGTTGATAGAGGAGTGAAAATTGAAATTGCAGTCGGACTTACGACACACTGTTGATAAATAATTATTGTCTCAACGATTTGAGATAAAAAAAAATAACACCGAACAAAGTCACCATCATTCCTTAGAAATTCAAATAATAATATTTTGTAAATTTAAAATTTCTTTTTTTATCAGTTTTCATGCGTTTGAAAAATATAAAACCACTCTATGAAACTATATTATGCTTTTTTTGATGGAACGACGCCCACGACGGGGTATACTCATTTATTACGCATTCGTTCAAGTTCTGTGCCGCAACGCCGATCGCCATCTATGCCAATGTTATTATTATTCCGTTCACGTTTTGCACCGTTGCTCACTCGTTACCGTCGTCGTTTGTTGCGTGTGTGAATATACAGGGTGATTCATTAAGGATGCTCATCCCTTTTTTCTTTAATGGTATTATTCAAAAATTTGAATTTTTGTAATTTTAAATAAACTTGAAAAATATTCATTTTTGAATATTTTAGATTTTTTATACCACTTAAGGATGATCCTGTGGTAATGCTTTTCAAATAGAAACCTTTTTATTTTTGTAATTTATTTAGCAGATATTCTTTTAAAAAAATTCAATGTATCTTAGTTAAATAAATAACGAGTGATTTTCAAATTATTTAATAAGAACAATAGCTCTGAAATTTTTTTTTACTAAACTACATTTGATGTAATATTGTATCTGATTTTTTTTATATAAAGTATATTAATATACTTCAATAATTCTTATGAATTATAAATATTGATGGATTAATTACAAATATTCTTAAATTACCACTTTTGGTCTCATATTTTTCAAATCCTTTATTATGGACCTATTATTTTTTTTATACAAAGTTACATAAATCATAAACTACTATATAAATTATAAATAATAGTTGATTTTGTGTTTTTGATACTTCAACAATTTAAAAAAAAATTACCTGCTAAATAAATTATAATTGAAAAAGGGGTTGAAGTTTAAAAAACAAATTTATGTTCCTATAATATACTGTTAGTATATTATAAAAAAATGTCAAGATTTTAAATAACTACAATATTGAAAATAAAAAGAGAGTAAACATGCTTGGTGAATCACTCTGCAATATGTATGATATTAACTATAAAATACGACGCGCGCACTTCATTTTTACCCAGTGAAATTTATTATTTTCACGTAACACTATTACCGATTCTCATCGTGGTGTGTCCGCTATTTCTTCTGTCCGGTCGTCGAGAAGACGACACGTGACGCTAGTCTGTGATATCCGGTTTTCCGATAGTAATATATCGGTATATCGTTTACGAAAATATCAAATTCCAACGGATGTAAATCGGGGCCAATATACGTGGCTATGTGATTATTTATTTTTATATCTTTAATATTATGAAACAAACATCAGTGTGTAGCTGACGTATTTTCTCGCCATGTTTTCCACGTATTTAGAGCCTTTACGAATTTTACTCGATTATTGTGTGTCATCATACGGTTTTCATTTATTATATTATGAATGTTCGTCGTTTGTCAATTTTTACTTTTGATTTAGTAATATTAAATGGCATATGATGACGCCATTGAGATTAGTCGATAATGGTCGACAGAGTGTGTAATAAAAAGTTAATTGACTGAATTTAGGTTACGTAAAATATTTAAATAATTTTGATTTTTTTCAGAGATATAATTTAAGTTACTAGTTAATACTTATTACGTGTATACTGTATATAGTATATACGCTTATCTCATGCGTCTGCTGTGGGGTTATTTCAGAGCTCGTTTGTTTTATATTACACATCGTGATTATAAAATTTCTTATTTTATTAAAATCGAATAGAACCAACAATATACCTATGACTACCGTATATGTTAATAGAAATTATTAGTCATTATTGTCTTTAAAATAAATCTTTATGGCCAGTAAAATTACTATTTAACGTTATACATAATATTATTTCCGCTACTGCTGATACATATAATGCCGCTACAGCTACCGTGGCATTTTCATTGCTGATAAAATATGTATTGTGCATATGTGTTTTTGTTAATTAATGATAGGTCTAATGTCTAACCAAAATTAATTATAAATTAGAAACTACAAAACTTAGGTTTTGTTTGTCGAACGTGGCAACTACCCCTTTTGACCCTCTCTTAATACAGTACTAATGATAATCTTTTACTAGATTTTACTTTCTTATCACTAATAATATAATTATTTTTCGCTGGATTTTTTCTGAAGTTATGCCACGACCCGCTGGAGATCTTTATTCCTCAATTAAAATGTACACATTTCCCGCGTGTAAAGTGTTGCAGAGTTTAATTTAAAAATAATTAGAATATTGTAGTACAATGATTTGGTGCTGGATGGAGAAGGGTTTCTATTTGTAATTAAATATTACAAAATAATATTCGAGATCAAAAGACTTCATTGAACCCACGTGCCCGTTTTTAACGTACTGAAAAATGTTTCTTACACATAATTTTTATATATAGTGACAGCAATTGTGGTTAGGAATCTCGCGCAACTATGCTGTTCATATACGTACATTCAGACGAAAAAAAAGTGAAGTATAGGCGAATCGAAAATGACATTAGTAAGCCGATTCTCCTATTACTTTGTTTCGTAAATTTTTTTTCAGCGATGTTTTAAATAAAATTGCGACGGTGGTCTAAAGAAGAAAGTTAACGATTATCCAGGTTTAGTTGCACGTGTTTGTAAATTACGCTAAATAAGTATACGTGCAATTCACGTATGTGTGCTTGTCGTCGGGTATTTATTGTAATAAACATAATATTCGTATTCTTGGCTCTCGGAAATGTTGTTTAATAAAATAACGATTACCATTCATATAACGACACTCCGCTCATCGTGTAGTAGCCATCGTACACGCGTCTTATTATTATTGTTATGTGTGCGCATCGGAAACGTTCGTTGTAAAAAACGAATACCTCTTATTTCTCGCCAAGGATATAATAATTCCGAAATATTCAATAATGCGCCTCTTTTGTTTGTTTGATAACTTTTTTTCGTGTGCATATTATAATAATCATATTTGAATTTATGATATTTTGTTTAGTATTATATTCGTAAAAATATTTATTATAACCATAATAATTAAAATTACATTTTACCTATTTGTTTTACGTAATGTTAATTGTTTAGTATAATTTAGCTTTTATTATATAATATAATTTTTATTATTTATTCCAATCAATGTTCGTTATATTATTGTTGTGTATATACGGTAATTAGTGATGCCGTTACAATTAGGGTATAAAACAATATTATATACCCTTAAAAGGCTGGTTAGAAGTTACTCCACAGAATAATTCATATTTCGTGGTTACTCTCTGGAATCATAACACTATCACCGTGTTTAGAATTTACTCGTTTTTCATTACATTTATAATATTGTTTAGGTAAAACGATTTCACTAGTCATTAATATAACCACCTAATAACCACATGTCGAAGTGGTTTAATACTTTCAACAACTTCATATATTGTGGTAACGTCATAATGTGTTAACATTGTTAAGCATACACGATTTACACGGAACGCGGTGATAGAATATTAGTATAGTACATAGGTACCGTCAATGATGGATGGATTGGTTATATCGAATTTTGATTTGTTACTGCAACATAAGCAGGCCCCGGGAGAAATTATATTCAAAAATAAAAATTATTTTTGTGTTTTAGTTCAGTTGTCATATTATACTTGTATTACCGGATAGAAGAAAATATTTTAGACAGATATTCATTTGTAAAAAATACAACCCCATTTTTATTCTCAGTATATTATAGTAGGCATTGTTGTATGATTAAATTTGTGTGTGTATTATTGCATTTTTGTATTCGATTTATACGCGATTGATTTATTTGCGAATAGGTAAATAAAAACTATGTAATAGTATATATATACATATATATTGTAGCAGCCACTCTTTATGTTCGTTTAATAAAAGCCGCATGGGTTGCTATTTTTTACCAAATAAAGTAATGTCAAGTGATACGTGAAAATGTTTAAAATTGGTTGGCAATACTTGGATATAAAAAAAAAGGTTAGAACTTGGAACCGCTGGTGTTTGTTTTTATATTTTATTTATTTTAATATCAAAAGATTACTGGACTTCACTGAGTAAAAAATTCGTGTATACCTTTACAATTGCAATATAACGATTATCGTCACGTTTAAAAATTAAACCTAACGATTCAATGTTATTTTTCATAAAAATGTTCTTATATTTTTTTACCTGTCTGTTCAAATGTGAAATTTACAAACGAAAGTAGCATATTATTATTTTATAATATAGAAATCTTGCCACTGTATATATTTTTAAAACAATCATAAGTTTTTTAACACGTCTGCATTGTTATGTATTAATATATTCACTGACGCAAAAAATTTAAAATGTTTGAAATTTTAAAAAAAACAATTTCTTTCGTGATTTGTTTAGTATTTATATTTTTTTCTACGAGAAATCAGTTATGTTTTCTTTTTAAAATAAGGATATTAGAGTATTTTAATACTGTATCCTATTTTTGAATGTACCATTATTTGTGCTACTATTTGTTTTATGTTTGCTGAATGGGGCTTTGGCCAACAACCGATTGATGACCGTTTTAAGTGAACAAGGTCAATCGCGCGCGGAAACAATGAATGAGCTATAGTATAATAATATTAATTGATGTCGTAATTTTAGATTAGGTCGAAGTTTATCTATCGGATTTTTATTTTTATTTTTTTCTTACACGTCTCACCTTGGATGAAACGAGAAACATTTTTTATCCCCGCCACGTGCTAAACGCAGACTCCACAATTACGGCGTAGGCTCTGATCATTTAACTGGGCGCCGCCGACGACACTACCATTACTACTATTAAAATACAAAAATACGTGCAATTTTTTTGTCCTTTAATTGATGATAAACTAACTTCTACGTTCAAACGTCGATGACTTCCTCTTCGTTTGGTTTCTAGAAGGCTTGCAAAGATTGCGCAATAATAATAATAATAATAATAATAATCAATTACTAATGTATATTTTCAATGTGGGAAATTAATACGTCTATACACGAATGAAGTAAATATTTTTTACACTTAAAATTATCAATTATTGTATATAAATAATGTAATATTAATATACCCTTTTAGATTATGCTTCACAGTCATAAAATTGATATACAACCTCATTTATTTCCACAGTCCCTCCCACTATTACAGATTGATTAGGTTTATTAGTATTTTTATTCGTATAGTTTATTGAATCCATATTATAATTTTATAGTTAACCGATGAGTAATACTATTTTTTATTTCAATAGTACACTCTTATGTTCTATTTTATGGTATATAATATTATTTATAAACTGGTCAAATTATTATTAATAATCATTGTCCATTAACTATGATAATAAACAATGAATGTAATCTATCTTTTTTAGATATATTATTATCAATTCCTATAGAAATGCTGTATACCTACTGTAGTATAACTAGGTGACCGGGATCGAAATCCATTTGTACAGATATTTTAAACGAAGGAAATGTTAAAGACTTTTATTACAATTTGAAAATGTATTAATTTTTGCGACTTAAACCACTGTGTGGCTCCATCTTATAATGGTACAAATCTATAAACATTATGTATATTGTATATTTTTTGTTTTACTATCATTTGGATAGCTAAATAGAAATAACGAAATTAATAATTTCGTATGTTGTCGATTTTTTTGTTATCCATTTTCATAAGAAATTCTAGAAATATCTTACTGTTTTCTGTGTTGGTAGTTGGTTTTTATTTGCATTCTTAATTTTTACAAAAATATGAAGTCGACAATTTACCATATATTTTGACGACCCTCGGATTTTTAAAGTCTTATTCTCCCTTGAGACAAACCCGTTGTTAAATTTACACAAAATAATTACCTATACCTACAAATAATATTTGATATTTATTACAAAACTAATGCATGTACCTATTCGGGAGTGGTGTCGCATTCAATTTGTTTGTTTTTTACGCTGCTGTGATATTGATTCTAAATTTTACATGCAATAAAAGTTAAAACTCATCGGTATCGCGGTTAAATTCAATCAACCAACCAACACACTTCATTATATTAAATTGTGTCAAAGATGTTTGTGTAGTCGTTGTATGGCTTTTATTTAACATCAAAACTTAGTATTCCTTATCGGCTTGCTATAATAATCTTTTCTTGAACTTTGATTTTACATGAAATTATTCATCCGCAGTCATTGTAATAAATAATAATACACGTGTAGAACCTACCTATATATAACACGAATCGATAGACATATGACTTACATTTTGTTACCTTTTGGTACTAGCCCTCCTTAAATTATCACATTTATGGGATCTCATTATACGTAATTAATATTATAATGTATTCAATAACAATATAACTCATATTCTATGAATGCGAAAAAATATAACTTTTGCCAGTGCTAATCATGAGAGATAATGTGATTTGCATCATCTGTTGTAAGTCATGAAACACAATATGCTATAAAAAATATGTATTTTTACAATTTAAAAAAAAAAAAAACATAAAAAAAATTATAAAATACAAAAATTTGAAGTTCCTACTGAAATAAAACGAAAAAAAGAGTGAGCTATAATAAACAAAAAAAACTTGCATTTTTTATTGTTAAAAAATACTGTATTGTTGTGTAGGGCATTCGTATGAGAAAATATACATTTGTCACTATTATTATTAAATACTGCACTTGATACTGGCTATTGCACTTAATTCCAAATTGTAGTGTGTATTATTATAGTACTGTACTAGTATAAGAAAACGACGGAATGTAATTTTTAGTAACGTAAAATATTTTGTTTTAATATCGCTTCGCTTTTTTTTTCGTAGCCGGTGAAATTGGGCCAAGAAAACGGCACGAGCGCCGCGGCCAAACTGCGATTCGAAACAACGAAACGCGAGTCTCCGCTGGACCTGTCGGTGAAAACCGTGTGTCGGTCTGCCGACTCAACCGACGACCGGTTAAATCCGTTCGGGCACGACATACCCAAAGTGAATTTCAAACCGGACTTCAACAGGTCTCTACCGGCGACGGCTGCGGCGCCACCCCCGCCGACTTCAGTCGTTGTCGTCGGTGGCCAGCAGCACCAACAGCACAACAACGCGGCCACTGTCTATAACCATCACCATCATCAGTTCGCTGGTCAGATGTCGCTCTCGCTTCCGCCACCGACGGCGCTACCACCGCCGCCATCGACTCAGACCGTGGTCGTTGTGCAGTCGTCGCCTCAGCAACCGTTACCGTCTGCGGCGGCCGCCCCAACGACTCCGCTGCCACCGATAGTGCGCCCACACCACCACCCCCACACCAACAATACGGTGCCTTCGCTATCGTCAGCAGACGAAGCTTGGCGGGCGGCCATAGACAGGCAGATCGAACAGAAATTCAATTCGTACACTTCGTCCAAGAAACATCATCCCCATCCGCTACACCAGTATCCTCAGATCCTGCAGCACCAGCACCTGCACCATCCTCCGATTCCGTCGACTGCGATGGAGCAACATCAGCAGCAGCCGCCGGCTCAACCGCCACCGCCGCCACCACCGTCGCAGCAGCAACAGCCTCAGCAAGGTCCCGCACAGGCCGACAAAAGAGTGTTGGAGATACTCAAGCAGAACATAGAGGCGCGCGACCAGAATAGCCGGCCGCAGATTGCCGAGGCGCCGTCCACGCCGGCCATGGTATTTTCGACGCCCATCCGAAAGGAACCGTCAACTACGCCCCTTAAGAAAACCGACTATTACATGGCCGAGCGCACGGCCGTCACGCCGTTCCCGAAAAAGGTTGACTACTATATGGACAGGGCATATTGCAACGCTCCGAGGATCCGAACCAAAGCCGAGAGGAAACAGGTAAGCTTTCGTCACTTATTGTGTTCGGTATGATCTCAATATTATTCCCGTCCATTTATTTATTAAATAATTATAATTAACAAAAGGTAGGGGGTACCCATTTTAACTGCGGAGGTATCCATGATCTAGCACAAAAATCTAATTAATTATATATTTGAAATAACATGTAATCCACCTAAACTAATTCAAATCAGATACGTTCTTACATAAAGGTCGTATGGTTAATAGTATAGATTCTAAATACACCACAAAAGAAAACGATATATCGACATTTTTTTCTAAATCAACGATTTATAACACATTTGATTATATATTTTACGCCGTTATATACTTCTACATAATTATGCGTAGCACAAATATATTATACCTAATCTTCTTATGATTAAATCTTATCACAAAAAACAAATGTCATTAGAATTAAATTTGATTTTATTTTTAATTTATTTGACCAAATAAATTTAACACTCTCATAATTATAATTGTATCCTAAGAGAAACTTAAATTTTTATTATTTTTGCGTCTTTCACGATAAATGATGTAGAATATCCATAGGAAAATCGTTTTAAATCACACTAGATAAAATTTTATTTTGTGATATGCGTCATGACCGTTTTATCGTAATGGAATAACTATCTAATTCGATTAATAAAGGTTTTATCGAAAACTAGTATAATAAAGATTGACATATCGCAAAATCTGGTAATCTTACTTTCATTTATTGAGAAGAAATAACAAATTTATAATTTTAGTTTCGAGAATGACAAAAATGTTATCAATATTCATTATAACTGCTTCTATTTACAATAATATTCGTACGTAATAACGTACTAGTAACAATAATATAGTTTTATAAGCGTTGATAAATTGATTATAATTAATAAATAATTTTTTGTATTAGAATCTAATATTCTAGACGTTCATTATTTACGATTAAGTGTTCAGTTTACAGAATAAAATTAATTTAAAATAAATAAATTTTACTCCTTGATAGATAAATATTACCGTCAACAATTTTTATTCTAAACTTTATTTTTTTCCGTTTTATTTATTTTTGTTACGACTAAAAAGTTGCCATTTGCTTGCTGCTTACATGTTTACCAATTATATTTTATGTACTTTTTCTTTATATTTTTCATGTATAGATATCTGCTGAAGGGTCGTCCAGTGGCACGAGAATGAGCAGTCCAATGGCTGCTGCCACAGCCATATCACCTCACCCATTTTTGCCATCAAATAACAGCGTACCTCAAACAAAACAAGAACCGACACCGCTTACTCAAACTGAAGCAGTTATAGATCTCAAGCTAGATATCAAGTAAGATTCTTGTATTATTGCATTTTACATTATTTATATTATAGACGTTTGGTATAATATTTTATTTAATATATGACATTGTTAAACAACATATTTCGAGTACCTACTACCTGAGTACCAATTTTTGATTACTAAAATATTATACACAATTATTTATTATTTGTTACACTATGTTTATTAACTTATGATTAAAATTTATTGTTATTATAGACGAGAACCGTCGCCCATAAAAGAACCAGATCTGAGTTTGTTAAATAAAGAAGAAACTGTGAAAGATGAAGATGACGAGGACTTTTGGACGAATACATGCAATTCATTTGTGGTGCAGTTGGCTGAAACCCAGGAAAAGAAAAAAGTCAAAACGCCAGTCAAAAGGAAATCGCCAAAAGAATTACTACCACAACCGCCCAAAAGAAAGTACACAAAACGAATAAAAATCGAACCTATTGCTGAAATTGATAAAGACAATAAATTATCAGATGTTCAAAATGAGTCTAAATCAATTGAAGAAGTGAAGTTGGAAAAGTCATCTGTCTTGGAAAATATTGTTAGCGAAGAAAAAACACAGAAAGACGCAGAACCTCCGGATACGGACAAAGAAAATAAAACAAAACTAAAAGACTCAGAAAAAATTATGGACGATACTAAAGACAAAGAAGACAACGAGAAAAAATCAGCTAAAGGAAAACCTAGAAGAAAACGACTCATTATTAAGCCATTGATTGCCAAAGTCAAGAAAATAAAGAAAGAACATAAGAAAGAGCTAAAAATAAAAGAACTGAAAAAAGAAACGAAAAAAGAGGAAAAAAAAGAACTAAAAAAGGCAGAAAAGAAAGACAAAGACGCGGTTAAAAAAGAACAACTGCTAAAATTGGAAAAGAAAGAGCAGGCAATGACAACAAAAGAAGAGAAGAAAGGACTGAAAAAAGAAGAAAAACGCGATCTCAAGAAGGATCAACAACAATTGGATCACGGCAACAAGAAAGATCTCAACAACAAAAAGGAGAGTAAAAAATCTGAAGCCAACAGAAAAAAAGTTGTGGTAGAAAAAGAAAACCTGACAAAAAACATAGAAAACACGTCGAGAAGATCTGCCGCCGCAACAGCCATCGAAGTAGCCGGCAAGTTTAATCCTAGGCAGTCGTTGAGGCGAAAGAACTCTTTGAAAGACTATACGTTCGCTTTTGACGAGTTATTGGACGATGCGTTTGCACATTTCGAAACCGTCAAGATACCGGTAAAGAGGAGAAGAAAGTGTGCATCACCGTCGCCAACCCCTGCTCCAACAGTAGTTTCCGCTGCGGTTGGTCCTACACAGTTGGTCGCTGTCGTCAAGAAAACCAAAGAGAAGGACAATGAAACGATTCGGATGCGGTTGCGGTCTCGAAACAGACCGTTGCTGGCTAAGCAGGAACCACAACAGGCTTCTTCCAAGAAAAAAGCCAACGTAAAAAACAAAATCATTCCAAAAAGGCGGCGTAAAAAGTCGCTTGGCGAGAAGTCTACTCATACGGTCGTCGCAACTACGGAGGACTGGAAGGACGAGTTGTACAAGTTCAAGCGGTCGTTGCGCCTACCGTCCAAACTCATATCCGTAGTATCACCGCCGACTGCCGGAGCCGTAGCCGCTGACCAGGTGTCGTTAACCTCCATCATGAACATTCCGCCGCCGCCAAAGCCGGTCAAGGAATCTAAAGCGGCTAAATTGGCGGCGTGCCAATCGTTACAGGCAGGAGGGCCCGGTGGAGTATCAGGCAAGAACAAGCCGAAACGGTTGGGTGGCCATATGTTTGGTCGCCGGGACGTTATGTTTAAGGGACGACGTATGATGAAGCGTGAAAAGATTGTGTCCGCGGAAAAGTTAATGCAGCGGAACTTGCGGAAGAGACGGCAACGCGAAGACGAGGTGATGAAAAAAGAGTGTGCCGGCGAAGAGGCCATCGCGTCACATTTTGACGACGAAGACGAGGAGGAAGCGCATGCCGAAGAAGAGGATGAAGAAGACGATGATAGTGGTGCTGCTGGTACTCGAGGTAGTGGTGTAAAACCACCGGCGCGTATGTTATTCAAACGAAAGTTAATGCGCAAAAAGTTTCGATCGGGGTTCGACTACATCAAGAAAAAGAAAAAGAAGGAACCGTTGTCGGACAAAAAACCCGCTACTGTAGCGACCACCACTGTCGCCTCCACCTCCATTCCGCCAAGTGCGCCGCGTTATGTGTCGGAAATCCACGCCGAAATCAAAGGATGGATAGTCAACAAAGGACATGGCGAGACAGTACTCCACCGGGCCGCCAGACTAGGCGTCGATGTAAGTTATTTTAAATGTTGTCTCTTTACATATTATAATGAAGAAATAAAATGGGTATTTGCACCAGGACGTTTCATCTTGGTAAAACTATTAGACACCCGCACATTAATTAATAATTGTAATAATTTATCAACATATTAGAGGAGATGTAATGATTAACATACGTTTCGCCAACCCCCAAATGCAAATTTGCAAAATAAATTTGATTATACAAATTATGCAACATTATTATGTATACCCGCTATAACTTTATTTTTTTATTTCACACATTTACCCAGCTCATATGATTTTGATTATAAGCAGAACACGTGACGAAAACAGCATCAAAGCAACACCATTTATTTGCTATAAAATAGTTGGGCGCATTTAAAGTTCTTCGTTCTCATATACTGATTATTCCTCTCCCCTCCCTTCTTTAAAATTTGTTTTCCGCATCCGAAATATTATTGTCAAGACGCTTACGTCCGGCTAAACACAGAAGGAAGTGATTATTTACAGCATTTCGCGTTTAAACTAGTTTCCTAGTGTACGTGTAGTTTCATTTTGCCTGCCGGGCTTACTGGAAGGGTCGATTTCAAATTGTATTGCGCATCGATCGAACGGGAAACGGGTGGTCATTCGTCGATGGTGACCTGCCAAATATATTAGGAAAATAATATGATGCACGATTATAAATACAACGGAGTTGATATAGCGTGTGTATTCGTTCGTAAAATATAACACAAACGATGATATTATTATAACAAGAATAATAATATTATGCACTCGGTCGGAACGCCACCGTCGTATATTGGTTGTGTTTTTCGGTATTGTTATGTATATATACATGATACATATTGTATTATTGTACGTGATTTATGTCCGATTTGCGGATTCGCGAGATCGGCGAGGTAGGAAGGGGGAGAGAATCGAAACGAATCGATCACGTCGTCGACCGCAACAACGATGATTTATCGCCTAATAATTTCTCGTCCCGTCTAGTGTAGCTTAATATGCTTGCGTGATTTTCTTTTCGTTTTTCTTCAATAGTCGGCCTGTATACCGCGGGTCTATAATCATATTTATTTTATAGGTGGCAGTTTACCGTTAAAAATATCGTAACGTTAACGTGCTATAATATTATATATATTATACGCACTACATTTTCAATAACATTTTTGTGTTCCATCGCTAATTATTATTGTCACAGTTGTATACTGTAGTATTTACAGTACTTGTGAATAGTGAAAACCCGGACCGTTTGTTCGTGCGGTTTTTATATTGTAATATTAGAAAGTGGTAATGCCGGTATAAACAAAAACTGTACCTACTCATGTTATTTTTCCGTATAGGTACGGTTGCAATGTACGAAATGTCTAATACTGTTGTATTCTGTTACTTGTGCTTAAATTTTAAAGTAAATCGGGTAGCTGAGAACTTGGTAGCCTAAATTTGGCCAATTAGTTCAATTTAACAGCTGATAAGTCATTATCTTAAAATATTTTAACTTTAAATATCAAGTGGATTAAACACAATGTCAATCCTTATAATTTATGTAAATATAAATAGTACACATGCAGGGGTGGATTTAACAATTTGTCGCTTCCATGCCAAAAAAATTGCCGCTTTTATTTTTAAAAAAATCACCTCTGTATAACAAAATTTCCTTACATAATAACATTTTCTATGTATTATATGCAATTATTTTTTCTTTGTTTTTATTATATAAGAAAACATATTAATAAATTTATTAAATAATTATTTGGTTATATAAGTAATTTTAATGTTAACTATTTATTTTGAAATCAAAAAATTCAAGAAAAAAAAATTGAAAATTTTTCTACTTAAGAATAAAAAATATTAAATATAAATTGCTGCGTATAAAAACCACCCTCCAAAAATTTGCCGTCTTCTGCGACTGCATAGTTCGCAGTTCCCGCCTCTGTGTACATGTTATGCTTATATTTATGCATAAAACATATTTACCATTATAGATTGTATAAAAATGATAAAATCCCACCTTTAGTATATTCAAAATATATCGAGACGAGACTTTTGACTTTTTAATATGAATTAAAATATACAATGGATAATTATAGATTTCGAATAAATAATTATTTAATTTAATATATTATGATCGAATATCGTTACGAAATTTATAGTTAAATAGCTTGCGTTATGACGTCATCATAAATTAATCAATTAGATTATATTAGATTATATTATATTAGATATATTGTAGGGAAATATTTTTTTCTCTGTAAGTCAATAAAAATTTCAATATTAAAATATTTTAAGCTAAATGATTTACTTGTATGCACCATGATGGTCCTATGTTGTATTTTTCTATTCCTGAAAATAAAAATTATTTTTTTTTAACATGATAATTTTGTTTTCCATTTTAATAAATAATCTTGTCTCTTTCAATAAAAAATAGCAATTAACCACTCCTGAAGTAGCGTAATATTGTTATCAGATTTATAATTAATCAGAAAAATTATTATGGTTTACTCTAGTATAATGATGTACGTCAGCGAATCTGTAATTTCTTTATATGCTACTATTACTTGTATTAACGCGGTACTATTAAACTCATATTATAACATAATATAATATTGTAACTTACCGACCTCCATTTTTCGATAACATTGTTTAGAATTTGATGCGTTTAATCAAATTGTATTATATTATTACCATAGAACCATACACTTCGCAAGTTATTCGCATTATTTACATCGTATGTAAACATAAAAAAGTGAGAGAAAAACCGAAGCCGAACGACACTACGTAACAGTCTCTGAGGCACGCGCATATTATACGTCTATGTGTGTGTAAATAATGCAATGGTAGGAGGAGAAGATACCGTTATTATATACGGTCGTAACGCTCTCTTTTCCTCACCACCAGCAACTCTTCGCGTTCGCTAATATAATAATATAATTTATTATTTACTTGTATACCACGCGCTGTAGAATAGCTGCGACGCAATATATCTTTCGTAAATTATACATACAGGGTGATTCATCGATCATTCTACCCCTATTTTTCCTATAGTAATATATTTATTCAAATTCTGATTTTTAGAAATCGTAAATATATACTTAAATTATCTTAAACCATATTTTAACCTCTTGGATTTTTTTTTCTTACGTAAAAGGAATGACTTATAGCTAAAACAATTTTCTTCTAGTAAAAATCACCCTTTTTCTTAGAAATTCCGAAACAAATTACTTTACTTTAGTAACTACATATTTATTAATCTATTAATATTTTAAAATTTATAAAATTTGTCAGAGGATAATAAATCTAGATTAATAAATTATAATATATATTTTTATTTTTGTAAAACTGATTAAATTATCAATAGTATAATATCTATTTTAAAATTTCACAAACATCAACCTAGAATTTTGATTTAGATTAATCTAGTATCAAAAATAAAATAAAATAGGTAAAATAATAATTGTCGATAAAAACAGATTGCTTTTGATTTGAAATAATATTAAAATTTATAAAAAATATACAGAACACAACTCGCGGGTACATAAAAATTCCAAAAATTTAGGTTTTTAATAAATTCAGATAATAAGCATATGCTCGATATACCGCTCTGTATATATAGTGCTCGTATTTTTACTCCATTTTTAATTTTGTGATTTTTTTTTTTATCAAAGTTGACCGCAAAAAAAACCAAAAATTGTTGAGAACCCACACACACACGTCGAGCACAAAGTTCGATAGTTTTACTGATGACGTGTGCATTCGCGACCTCGTGATGGTGTTAACCTCTCTCCGTCTCCCACCGACAAACTCGTCCAGAAATGATTTTCGCGCGACACGCTATTATGATGACATAACGATTATAATAATATATGCGACAATATATACACGCGCATCTCGCCCGCGTCTGCCCTTGGGACAAGCGCAGCACACAACTTTTCCAGTACAATATTATCATACTATTGTATAGTGTTTCGCGGCAATCGTCGATGGCGGTGGTGCGCGACGAGTACTTGTGATAAATACGACGAAAACTGTCGTCGCATCACTCGTACACGTTATTATGTATCGTTCCGGTAGCGCGGCGGTATGAATGTATGATTATAAATTAAAACATACCATCATTATATTGTGTTACGTGTGAAGTCGACTCAGTGGAATTGTTTTAAAAAAAAAATTTTGATCCCACTTATTCCCGTCCATCGTTACTTATCGCCTTGCATATTGTAAATCTCGTTCTCGTAGAAAGCGGTACCAGAAATAAACTCCTGAACGTGCGTGAGTTAAATTTACCTCAAGTCCGTGGGCTCCATTTCAGTTTTATCTGGTTGTCAAACTTTTCCTCCACCGAGCCGAAGAAGTAACGGAGTAAAATGCGGCGACGTCATTCTGATCTTAACATGGGATACAAAATATAAATTAACTAAAAGCCTTATCATAAATATAAGTAGCATAGAACTATAGAGTTCTTAGCTTCGCAAACGATTTATGAATTTTTCCTATTCCATTTTGTAATAGTAATCGGCAGAATTCTACTTTTTTTATTTATACAAGTATACAACACACGTCACAAATGTTCGAATATACTTGATTTAAAAATCAGCTATTCCAATGCTCAATAACATACATTTTACAGAGTCCACGTGAATTACCTTAACTATTTGACTGTACTAGTGCAGCGTCAAGGTTAGGTAGACCTGTACGGTACCTATGGTTAAAATAAGGTGGCCGACATTTGCCGTGTGCGATAACCTCAAACCGTATTTTTGTTCAACCGTTCGACTAAACTAAAGTACCTACTTCCTTATAAGAGTTGTGTGTATACATTTTTATTATTGTTTTTCAAGATACACGCCGTATTGTTATTATGCTCTCGAGTACTCAACAAACGATCGATCGGCCTCCGTGTGATAATATAATGCATTACATAATACATTATGTATTGACGCCCTCACTAGTCACTTGTAGCTGTATACACGACGCAGTAGATATACTTCAATTTCATATATTATGCATGTTCGTAAAAAACATCGCAATTTTAGTTATTGTTGTTATTAAGTATAAATATAAAAAGAAATAATATAAAAAAAAACTTTGAAATAATCGTGTGCGAGTACGTCTAGAAAGTTTAGAAACTTGTTATATATATATACGTATATGGACCGTGCAACATATATAATATACATGTATAACAAACATTTACAAACTTTCTAGACACACTACAATATTGTCTTGTTTAAATATATACAATATATACATACTTTAGATTATTGTTATTATATTAATCGACCGACTGATCTCGGATTCGATTGACGGTGTGCTTTAAGACAACGTGTCTCATTTTTCTTTTTTTGTATATGTTCTTCTCAAAGGATGTCGTGGGTTATTGTATTGAAAAACTCGAATACGCTCCATCGGTGGCTGACAACGCGGGCTACACGCCGTTGCACGAAGCGTGTTCACAGGGCCATTATCACATCGCCAAGTTGTTGCTTCTGTTCGGGGCAGATGTCAGCGCCAGCGCTCAAGGAGGCATACGGTCAGTACTTTTAACATAATACATACATTTACAATCAAGCGTATTTTGTTATCAACGCTATAATAATATTAATTATTCATATTAACACCTTTACTAATTATGATGTGATACTTACAAAACGAAAAATATCGTAATATCGATTTAACTCTTATGAAATCGAGTCCATCAGTATGATCATAATGCCGATTAGCTCTTTTCCTCCCGTCTAGTATAATACTTCACTAAACAAATGCTATAGATACTCAAAAATTTCATCGATTATCAAAATAGTTTATCAAAAAATATTAATTTTATATAATTACAATTTTTATGATGTTCGTTTAATGCCTTTTGTTAAAAAGCCAATTTTTAAATCATAGTTAAATTCATTTCTACAGTATTTTTGATTATTTAATTGTAAGTATTCTATAATGCGTATCATAAGACTGTTGATATTACTTAAATGAAAAATGCTACTTTCTATTTCCCTTTTGAACAGTATTAGGGACAATAATCAAATTGTGTCATTTATTTCTAAAAGAAATTTATCTTTTTTTTCAGGCCCCTACATGAAGCTGTAGAAAATGGAGATGTACACCTGGTGCGTCTTTTACTCAGTTATGGGGCCGACCCGCATTTGGCCACGTACTCGGGACAATCGCCACTGTCTTTGGCCACAGATAAACAGACCAGAATGCTACTAGAACATCATGTCAACGACGTCCAAGGTTATGGCAGTGCGTCCGTGTGGAATTTTGATGACTCTACACTGACCCGTAAGTATTATATTATAGTATATAAATTGGTCTAACCATAGTTGGTGCATCTATACATATCACCTCTACCTATTGCATAGCTATGGCCCATATTTCGTATAAATATATAAAACTAATTGGTTATACATAATAACATATTATCTTACTATCTTATTGAGTTTTTATCTTTAAATTTGAAAGAGCCATTTCATACTTCACATAATTATATATTAGGTAGACATCTACTAATTTATAATATATTACAATATACGAATATGTGCATTTGATTTTAAATATTTTACCGTATGTGTATACTATAGTAACGTAGAATTGAAAGTGATATAATATACCAATATTTGTTGCGTTTACGTCACGCGTATAATATAACAATTAACAAGTTCACAAAACTTTGTCATAGAGTTCCATCTCAAAAAATACTTTCTAACCTTAATTATGATATAACTATGAAATATTTTTATTTTTATAACAATTCATCTGCAAAAGACACGTATTACAAACTTTATGCATGTGTTGGAGCATTCTCATATACGCGTCTAAAACAGAAGAAAGGACCATTTAGGGACCTGAATGTTGTGTGAAACAGTTATATCAATTTCTTCTTGAACTTAGAGATTAATCTTCATTTAAAAGTTTATATACTATGCTTGTCTTATATAATATTAAATATTTAAAATATAATTTCTATAATACACTTGATTTTTGCCTTTTTATTATAAGGTTTTCTCCGGGAATAGCGCGTCGTAGACAACAGTCGATGAAAAAATAAATGAAGTGATGTGTTTGAACAGTTATAATTTCAAATATTACGAGTAACATAAAATATTGTTGATCTTGTACACTATTTTAGTATAACAATATTTATTTTAAACTTCATATTCTGGACAATAATTTTCTAGAAATTTTGATTTTTAAATATTGAACTAAGAGACTAATAATAATTATAAATTATTTATAAACATTTTTAGTTTTTATAATATATATGAGTGGTGGAGAGAAGGCATTATATTTGCTCCACTTCTCTTTTCATCTAAAATTTATGATGATTTCAATATTCCGTGTTTATTATTTAATATTTATATAATAAATAAATCAACATTTTTAGAAAAATATTATACTTTAAAAAAAAAAACTAACTACTAATATGATAAAGAAAAATAATAAACAGTTAACAGTTTCATAATTTTTTTTTTTAATGAAGTGTTCTACAAATACTTTGAATTAAATGCAATCGATTTTTTTTCTTCAAACATTTAAAAGTTGATAGAGATTTATTTTACTAAGATATTATCATAGTGTCTCACGTTATAAAAATGTCTACGTATATATCGGTGTTCCGACTATTGGTTAAACCTTTTTGGGACAAGGAAAGAAAATCTTACATATTCTGTTAGAAGGTAATTTCCTGTAAATTTATTTCAAGGCTTTTACTTTTAAAATGACGACAAAAGTCCCCGTGTGTTTTGTCTCTGTTTTACAAACGTGTAATATAAAAAATTTGCGTTCGACGAAACATATTTAGTATTTTTAATATATTAGAGTAAATCAATCTTAAGGTATATACATATAATTAAAGTATAAGGGCACCTCTTAAGTTTTATTGATATTTTAATTTTAAAACAAGTTATACTTATGTTCCTACAATTTTACCCTATAGTGTTAATCTAATCGAGTACCTCTTGCCCATGTGGCATGCGTTTTACAGACGAACCCGAGGACGTAGACCGGCTTCTGTGGTGTCTTCCGCCGGCCCCATCACCGGTGCCGGGCGACGAAGATCCGTCGTTCGAATTCGAGTTCGCTGATCAATCGTTGCCGGACGTTTACAAACTGTCATCCGACGAGAGTGCTGACAATCGCACGGACGACGACGATTGGGTGTTGTTCGCGGACGTTTCGACGGCGCTGTCAGTGAAGACGGTCGACGCGCTTGTTAAACTTTTGGACGACGAAAATGCCGTAACGGCAGTTCCGGCGGACCGGTTCAAGGAACGCGCGGTGCTCCGGAAGTCGTTGGGTCGACAACCGGTCGCGGTGCCATCCGCCACCGCAGCCAACAGATCTGGCGCCGCCGAACGTCCGGCCAAAGACGACAACAGCGGCTCTGTGGCCGCGAAGGAAGCCTCTTTCTCCTCCACGCCGTCCACATCAGCCTCCGCCATCGTATCCACTTCCTCCACGACTACATCAATCTCCACCACTGCTACTACGGCAAGTACTACCTCCGCCGTATCCTCCTCCACACTGACATCAGGTGGTGAACAAATACTCTTTGTCCGTTACGACCGTAAACTCAAACAACTGTTAGGCGTGGATGTGTACACAGTAAGTTGACGTTGTCGTCAGCATTACCATCATCAGTAGACGGCTGTGCGCACACAGGACGAGTTACCGTGTTGTTGTTTTTATTATTATTATTTTTTTTTAATTTTTTTTTTTACTACTAAATTTAGGAATTGCCATTTGACATATTTTTCGACTTTATGTTTAAGCAACATTTCTTTTTGTACTTAAATAAGTTACCCAAATGTTTTTTTTTTATTATTTCTTATGACGCATTTTGAACAAGTTAAAAAAAAGTTGACAATTTATGTTTTGGTTGGTTAGTTTTTAAAATTGAACACATCAACCAAACCAGCAGACGTGTTTAGTATTATTTAAAAAAAATATATATATAATTTTGTTATTTTAAATGATTTTGGTATACCTCTTTGTTAATGTTCACATTAAGTTTTAATTAATGTTTATTATTATTATTAATATGTATAAAAATATAATATTTACTTTTTTTTAACAACTGTTTTGTTTGTTTGGTATTTTTTTTCCATGTGCTAATATATATATTATGTGCAATTTTATTATACATTTATTTCATTATTATTATTATGATTATTATTTGATAATATCTTTTTTTAAGCAATTTAAATGAATTTAAAACGCGACATATTCGTTTGTAATTATTACAATTCTTAGCTCATTTTGTTTTTAATGTATACAATTTAATATAATATAATATATATTTATCGTATTAAACATTCTTTTTTGGTGTATTGTGATGTTGTTTAGATAGGTGTTCTGTACTTTTTTTTGGCGTGTTTAATTATCTACAAAATAAAATTATACCTAAAATAGTTAATTATAATATATATATATATATATATATATATAATATATATTATATACCTACATTAAATGTTTGTGTGTGTTGTTTATACACAATTATAAATATTCAATTTTGTATATAATTTAAAAAAAAAATCTCTATGTATAATTGTCTATATCATATATTCATGTTTATAGTTATAATTAAGTAATTTTAATTACATATAAATTAATTAAAAAACAGCAGTTGTACATAGTTTATAAATATAATTTTTTTCTGTTTCTAATAGTTATTTTATTTCAGTATTAATCTATTTATTCACTATTACACATGGATTTTATGCTTAATCCTAGTCAACAAGTATAGTAGATCAAGTTACTATCTATAATCATTTAACCCTTTTTCATTCATTTGGGACTGGTAATTTGATATTAAATACTATGCAGGTATCACATACATGTGTAATGTACACTAATTATTAATGTATGTGTTTATGAAAAAGTTCTTGAAAAACATACCGTTTTAATTGTTTTTGAACATGTATTAATTGCTTAATTTAAACATCTAAATGAATAAATTATTCAATTATGTGAAATATAAATTTATAAAGTATAATTATTGTTTAATTTTATTCTTTAGTGCTCTTCGCAAATAGGTTAGGTTAGGTAATTAAAATTAAATTAATGAAAACTCACGAAAATTAAATACTTATAGTATATAAATGTTATTATAGTTGACTATGGCATTATTACCAAAAAAGTTTAAATAATAAAACTGATATCAAATAAAAACGAACATTTTTTTAAATAACTAAAAATAAATAAATTATTAAAAAACTGACTAGCGTAAAAATTTCCATTTTTTCTTACATTTTTTACCCAAATGATAAGAGATATATTGGTAATTTTTATTTTTGACCTTTCAAAACATCAATTAGATCCAATTTGCTATCAAAAACAATAAAATATTATACGTAAATGTTAATATTTTACCTTATAATTTAAATTTAATAATTTACTTATGTAAATTAACCTGGAGGTGTACCATACTTACCTATTATACGAATCACTTATAGTTTACTACTAATTCCAATTGTATAGGATCTATTAAAAATATTTGATTTGAATTTACATCATAATGTGTTATAATTTAAAATAGTTATAACCATTCGTTACGTTTAATTTTCACTAAAGTAAATCGTGAGAAATTGAATCAAATGCTTTATTGCTTTAACTGTGTACAAAAATATACTTAAGCGTTTTTTTTTTTTTTCATTTACCTTAATAGCCTAAATATTTTATCAGAGGATCTATTCAAGCCTAGACTGAGCCACTCAGGCCACTGTGCTACTGTTCTATAGCAGTATAGCTCAGTAGACTGCACGCCTCAATTTTGTAACAAAAAATACCTAAGTATTTTTAAACAATTTATGAACAAAAAAAAGGTCTTTTTTTAACCTGGACTGTCTACTTACTGAAAACAGACCGGTATCCTCCTAGTCCGAGCCTGGGATCTATACGTCATATACAAATACACGATACACAACATAATCAAAAATACGGACGTTACAATAAGCGTGTCGTGTAATATTTGCCACTTTTTATATTGGTTTGAAACGTATGGAAAATGTGTGTTCTGCAATCCCCTCTAACGTTTAAAGCTCATAATAATTACCCGTCCATTAAATCTTAAAATAGTTAAATTAAATTGTTCAAGTATCTAATAATAGGGACTTGTAATTTTCACATACATCAATATTTTACGCGCGTCAATGTGCTATACGATATAATAATATATCGTATGATATATTTAAAAAATAATTTAGATTAATTTAAAGCTGTTGTCCGTTTATACCAACTTAATTATTATTCATCACTAATGGTAAAATCAATTTCTATAATAGCTAATTAATAGAATTATAAATACATGATAACAATAACTTAGTAGTGGCATTACAGGCAGACTGTCTCCACTCAAGTTCATTTTTCGTACCCAACGATCAATCGTTAACACTTGTGCTATATTGTGAATAACTCAATGGCGAGACACACTTAAAATGTATCGTACAAACTGCAGTAAAACGTAGCCGACTACTGTTCGAGAACTACTAACAGCACACAGTGTCATGCCAGAATATTTTCTGTGCCATAAGCTTCTGGAAACTTCGAGAAGCTCCCAAAGGTATCTCCCCTCCCTTTAAAACACCGGGACCGGTTGCACCAGCATACGCACGGCCGTGATAAACCCAAAACATTCCCCTAGTAACCGCCCCTCGAGTTAGTGGGCGCGGTGTGTGACGCGTGCCGCCGTAAGCTGACCGTCGTTTCCGCGTGTACGTCCGTTTTTGACGCTCGTTGTGCCGACGAACTATTGTGCTTTCGCCGTCGCAGTGTGTGCGACCTCATTGTCGGCGAGCTGCCCCTTGTGGATATATTTTTACATGTCGTCGTGTCATCGGTCTTGTGCGCCGCCGTACGTGTCCGACATCGTTGGCATGGTGATCATCGGTATGCTGCAATGTTCATCAGGCGTCAGATTGACTATTGCGGACCCGGTGATAAACCATAGCTTTTTTTTATTATTTATTTATTATTAATTTTTGTATTATTTTCGTTTCGGCGTTTGATAGCTGTTATTTTTATAATTTAATTACTCGCTATTATTTATTATTATTATTCATCCCTCTGGGCGCCCGGGCAGTGCTTATTTGGCCCGTCATTAATGTATAACGTGTATTGTTTTTATTTATATATATATATAAGTGGTCACCAGTCCTTTGCCGGTTATGTTAATTATTATTGAGATAGTGTCTGGGTATTATTTTATTACATTTTTTATCACCATCTAAGGCCAATCGTCATCCCCGTAGGAGCCTTATATTACAACTACAGTTGTGGTTTTACGAGTACTAGCTGAATAACCCGTCGCTGCCAGGTTACAGTAAAAAAAATTAGATTTTCGAATAATTTCATGTACCTATATAAGTATGAACAATAAATATATAGGTAGTTATAATAATACGACAATAATTTTTAGGAAAAACATAAAATCGAAACTAATTTAAGTTCTTAAGTTTTAATAAACTTTATAAATATTATACACATAATATATAACGGGAAAAAAACTGCAAATATTTTATTCAACACAAACAAATTGACAGTTTAATGAAAATTTTAATGTATTTGTGTATTACGAGTATTATTGTAGAATTTTTTCTAAAACTATATACATTGAATCTTTTTTGTTTTTCAGTATTATTTGTATATTTAACTATTCAAAATATTTAACTCTAGACATGGCTGCATAAAATTTACCATAGCCCATGGGCCATGACTAAATTTAATACAGGTTGAGGAAAATACAAACCTACTTTATCCAACTTTTGTCTCTGTGCTTTTTTTATTGTTAATCCAAAAACAATTATTATTGGAAATAGATGCCTAGTAAGTAAAAAGAGAATATTTGAATGACCCATATTTATTATGGGTTTTGACAATGACGATGTGCAGCAGTGGACGGTAGTAAAATTATCTTTATGGAAGGTCATGATTACATAGGTCACGGCAGCCACCTTTTTAGAAATATGGAAATTATGTTATTCTCTCATTTAGTACATCGTTTGAACGAATTTGTACACAGTGACACTAAATTTATACGACCAAAAGGGCTAATATGTATTAAAATATCTTCAGGGTGTTGACGTCACATCACACCAGCCCTTCACTTTAGAATATGCAATTTTTTTTTTTGTCCATCTTTTGCACTCTATTTGTACGTATTTGTACGCACAATATATAAATATTCGTTTGCAAATAGTTTTGCGAGGATCACGAAATACCTTTTGAAGAAGGGAAATAAGTGATAAAAAACCAAACTAGAAGCTCACGAAAGAAGCCTAGGTATTCTACGATCGGATATATATGATATAATAATATTCATAATGATATTAACACTCTATGACATATGTATATTCTCGTCTATGGCTAATATAAATACTTTTTGCCAAATATAGTGAATTATCCATAGGAAATATGTACACTATTTGCCATGTATATAGAAACATTACAAACTCTATAGGAAAAAAAAATTCAATAGCATATATCTGCACCAATGGGAGCAAAATGTATATAAACACTTTATGGCATATATACATGTATATTTTATACTTATGGAACACATACAATCTTTGGGAAATTTAAAAAATAATTGAAAATTATATAAACTCTTTGAAAATGAAAAAAGAATTGATAAGGAATTATTTAAGCTCTTTAAAAAAATTTAAAAAAATTGGGAATTATATAAGCTCTCTGGAAAATAAAAAAAAATTGATAAGAAATTATTTAAACTCTTTGGAATATAAATAAGCTCTTCGGAAAAATAAAAATCGATTGGGAATTATATAATCACTTTGGAGAAATAAAAATCGATTGGGAATTATAAAAGCTCTTTGGAAA